CAGCGCGGCCGACACGCGCGCCGCTGCGGCCGCCGCCAGCGCGGGCCCGCCGGCCGCTGCGGCCTTGAGCTCCTCATGCACGCGCGCAACGAGGCGCTGGAGGTCGGCCTGCGCGGGGGGCGGCGCGACTGCCCGCCCGGCAGCGCGGCCGCCACCGCCTCGCCCAAGCGCGCGGCCGCGCCGGCGAGGTAGGCCCTCGCGCGCTCGGGCCGCGCAGTCCAGCAGCCGCGCCACGGCGCCGGGCGGCGGCGAGGCCGGCGCGTCGCGCGCGCGTGTGTCACGCGCCACCGCCGCCGCGGTTTCCTCCAGCAGCGCCGCCAGGCGCGGGTAGGACCCCGTCAGCGCGTCGCGCAGGGCGCCCGCCGCCGTACGTGACGGCGCGGCGCTGGCGGCCGCCGCCTCGAACCGCGCCGCCAGCGCCGGCAGCGCGCCCTCCCAGAAGTCGCGCACGGGCGAAGGGCCAAAATCGGGGGCCTCAGATTTGGTGGTGCTGGAGCCGGCTGCCTCCTCATTTGGCTCGCCCCGCCCCTGCCCCCCCTCCACCCGCCCCGCCGCCCCATCCCCTTCCCTGGGCGTCCCCTCCCCCCGCAGCGCCTCGGCGAAGAGGAGCCCGCTGGCAGCGTCCCGCTTGCGCGCCAGCACGCGCTCCAGGTGCCAGGCGGCCACCGCCTCGGAGCGCAGCATGCCCAGCGCGGCGGCCAGGCCCTCCCACGGGCCCTCGCCGCCGGGGTCGGCGGGGCCCGCGCCCGGCGCGGCGCCGCCCTGGCGCGCGGGCGCGCGGCGAGGGTCCAAGCACGCCGTGCTGGCTGCGTCCACGCGCGCCAGGCTGGCGGCCAGGTGCGCGCGCAGCGCGCCGGACAGGCCGCCCAGGTTGAAGAAGACCTGCAGCGCCGAGCCGACGTCCGCCTGGCTCAGGCTGGACAGTCCCTCCCGCAGCGCAGTCTGGCGGCAGGCAGAGGGAGGGAGTGGGGGTGAGAGGGTCAGCTCTTGGGGCTGGGTGGTCAGAAGGAAGGCTGGGCAGACCAATGCGCAATCAGAGCCCACCGGCAATGGGCGCAGGGTTCAAGGGATTCAGCATTCCCGGGGGCAGCGCATGCCACGCAGGCCCCCACAGCCCAGGCGCCAGACCTGTGCTTGCCGGACGACGTTTTCGCGGGTGGAAAGGAGGAAGACGGCGTCGGCGCTGATCACATCCACCCCTCGCATGTCCCGGCTGGTGCTGTCGTCGAGGGACTGGATCTGGGCTAAGATCCTGGCTACCGATGCAGCCTCCAGCAGGCCTGGGGGGGGCAGCGAAAAATGGGAGTGGGTGGGGGAAAGCCATCTCAGCATAACCCGTACCGACCCTTGTGCGTGAACCAAATGTGCATAGGATGACTTTGAGGCCGACCCTGGCAGGTCCTGCCCAAGCAGAGCAGAGTCCCTGATGCCAGCACAGCCCAATTCCGACCGGACCAATTGCTGCCCGCCAGTGTCCCATCACCCAATCATCAAGCACCTTGCCCGTTGGCGACACTGGCTCGGAGCTGGGACACGAGCTTGAGCCTGTAGGTCACGTGCTGCAGCAGGTCGATGGTGGACTGCAGGCCCCGCGCCTGGTGAGTGAGTGCCCGGACCCTCGCGGCGGGGCCGGCGACATCGGCTCGCACGCGAGAGGCGAGGCTGCGCAGAGCTGCAATGGAAAGGGATGTGCGGTCCAGATCTGCCTCCACGCTGCCCAGGGACCCCGCAGAGGCCAGGAGGGAGTCCTGGTGGGTGTTCAGGTGCTCTCGGATGCCTGCCTCCAGCCTGTCTATGCCCTCCCGCAGCTCCCGCATGTGAGCCGGGGCGGATCCACCGCCGGACACGATGGCTTGGCTCGCGAAGGTGGCAGCATCGAAGTCATCGGCCAAGAAGGGGGTGAAGACGGGGTCGTCCAGCACGGACCCCGCCTCAGCGAGCGCCAGGGAGTTTTTGGCCCCCTTCCCCATCACAAACGACGCTGCATCTCAAGGACGACGTGGTGGAAGAGTAGGCTTGCTGTTAATCGATCGCGATCAATCCCGTTGAAGGTCCGTGATCACCGGGGCGGGATGGCGCGCGCGGAGGAGGCAGGGGTGGGGCTGGATCATTTCACTATTCCTGTCCTGGCACCGCACCCAACACACACAGCGTTCATTTTTGGGATGTAGTACTGCAAGCTTACTTTGCAGTTTGTTACACGACCCACAACCAAGAGTTCTAGTGGTAGAAGACAAATGGCTCTTGTGTCCTTTCCCGCAAGAGCTGCTCGGGATCCACCCTGGGCGGCAAGTGACTCCCTCGTCCATGCACAAAGCTAGTACCAAAGACCTGCCAAGGGGTCGGGGTGGGATGAATACCGTGACCGTCATGTACCTTGGATGTAAGACAGCTGATCCATGCCAGGGTTTGATTTCACTTGTCCGTGATCCCTGCATGGATACAGAGTGTGCACCCCCGCACATACCGCATAGATTGCTCCGAAAGCTACCAGGCCAATAAGTAGGAATGGAGTGAAGGCAAGAGTGAATGATATGCCCAGGTTCAACAGCTCAGAAGCGCGCTTGGGAAGTCCCTGCGCTTTGCACAAGGGAGTGTGGACCAGTAGATTGCTCAGGCACAGAAATGTTGCACAATCATGCAAGTCCGCCCGACAATGCCATGCCCACGAGCCTTGCTCCTTACCGACAAGCCCTCGGAGTTCAGGTCTCGTGACTTCTGCAACTGGGGAGGAATGTCGTACTCTGTCCGGCGTGGAGGCTCCATGGGCCCGCTAGGAGGCTGGCGCAATCTTGGGGGTCTTACGCTGGGACCTAGAGCTTCTCTACTTTTCCGCCTCTCGAGCTCTTTCTTGAACAGCGACTCCACGGAGTCTTCATCTGCAGGGGGTGTTGCACACGTCCTCCGCACCACCCAATAATGCCGCAGAGAAGTATGAGTCGAGCACATGGCATACTCGCTCTTACCGGACGATGAACTGCATGGGACATTATATCTCCTCACAGGATGTCTGCGGCGCGCATAACCTCCCGGCGCATGGTTGTTGACCGGTTTGCATGGCGTGAACAGAGCTGTACACCTGCACACCAGCATCCGAGAGGCCTCGCGTCGTCTCCTGGCGTTTGTTTAATCAAGAGAGGAACCAATGATAGTCCCGAGTGAGCATCGCACAGCCATCACTCATTCCATGGCCATGTATGCGATGAATCGACCGTGAGCTCCTCCATGTGAAGTGGAAACAGGGACCAGAGCAGCCATGATTTCGTTGGCCTGACACGAGGATACATTTCAGGCTCGTTCACAGGAAGTTGGGCCAACAACTCCAAAAAAGTCAGCATTCTCTTCCCATTCCGACGAATCAGAAGATAATTCGTTAGCCTATCCAACTATAATGTTGGGATGGCCCAAGTTATCTCGGGAAGAGTTCACATTCTGAAGCAACTTCCAAACTTCTGCCAGCCTGTGCCTCAATTGATGCACCTGCTTCGGCCTTCCGTTTGTTACAATGCATTATGAGGATGCGTAAGCTGGAGACATACAATCCTGGCACAGTTTCACTTTTGCACACCTGAGATGAGGTGGTGCACCAAAATTGTGTTACAGTCCTTTCTGGCAATCCACGTTACACCCACCCCTCCGGCCTGCCTCAAGCCGGCAGACTCACTCCTTGGCCCGGTTAGGCGCCGCCCAGACGCACACTGGGCAGGCCTGGGGGTTGTGGGCCCGAGCCGAGCAGTGCTGCCGGCCAAACCAGATGAGCTGGAGGTGAAGCTTGTTCCACAACTCCTCCCGGAACACGGCCTTTAGATCGGCCTCCGTTTGCTCCACACTTTTCCCCGAGGACAGACCCCAGCGCTCCGCCAGGCGATGGATGTGCGTATCCACTGGGAAGGCCGGCACGCTGCGCTGGCAAAGGGGGGGGCATGGCTCTCGTTTGCGGCGCTTGATGGTGAGATGTTGGTGCAGGGGAACTAGTCTTGGCGGCAAACACAGCCGGCTATTGGTTCTGGCCATGGTAGCTGGCCCACCAGCCCCACTGCTGTCAAGGCCCTCCTCCAACTAAACCCACCCCACCAAACGTGCCAGGCTCACCCAAAGCAGTGTGACATGATGACGGAGGCCGTCTTGTGGCCCACCCCTGGCAGGGCCTCCAGCTCAGCGTAGCTGGATGGGACCTGGCCGCCATGCAGCGCGACCAGCATCTGTGGGAGGAAGAAAGAAAAGGAAGGTAGAGTTCAGGGCGGATTCACAGCTCAACCGAGTCCAATGAGCGGGTCTGCTTCTGCAAGGATGCACCAGAGGATGTTGGGAAACCAATATCCCTATAAGTGTACACCTTGGCTTATTGCTTTCGTAGTGAATAGCCTCACCCTCGCTAATCACCCCACCCAAACAACCACCCACTTTGCTCATGCCCTTGAGGTGCTTGGCCTTGGTGGCGGAGAGGCCGAGAGGCTGGATGATGGCGGTGACCTCTGCCAGGTCAGCATCTGCCATGGCCGAGGAGGTGGCGGCGAGCTTGAAGAGGGCAGGTGTGACCGTGTTGACCTTGACATCCGTCGTCTGATGGGTGCACGGTGGGTGAATTCTGTAAATGTGCATTTGTAATGCGTTTGGACTTTTTACCCAGCAGCCATCTGCTTGCGGGTGGCTGTAAACGCCTTCCCCCTACCTGGGCGGAAAGGATGACGGCAACGAGTAGCTGGAAGGGCGATGCACTATCCAGGGGCACCTTGGGATTCAGGTACAGGCCGTTGAGCTGCGATGCAATGCGTGAAGCCTTGTTGCGTATGGACAAAATGTCCTTCTGGACAAAACCGGATGGGTCAAGCGCCGCCTTGCTCCGCTTCTTCTTTGAGGCAGGGCTACCAGTTTTCTGCTGGGGCGGCTCGACCTGGGCAACTACCACATGTGCCGTGCTTTTCAGGGATCTGGCCTCGATCCCCTGCGGACCCCTTCCTGATTGCCTCCCTTGCAGAGGAGGGGCAGGCTTGATCTGATTGGCAATAGGGTCGGCTGAGAGAAGAGCGACAGCAGCGGCCCGTGTGCGTCGCATGGAGACAAAGAATGGGATGGTAGTGGCTTTGATGCAGCCTGAGATACGACTGAGATTGAATACTCGCATCCGCCGGCGCCTCACCCCTTGCTAGAGGGGTTGATAATTAAGGGCCGGAATGGTTGAAGAGTCATATTGCCATCCCTACTGCGGTGGTGAGAGAATGTACACCATGGTTAGTACTGGTCTTACACTTGATCGAGCAGTGTACATTCGATATCATACCTTGCTCCCAGCTCAGGGGGCGCAGCTTGCACCTGAGTGGCCGGGGCTCGAAATGCGAATATGGCGGGAACAAGGCTTTCTTCCTGTAGACCCTGTTCTCTAGGCCGGTGCTGCGGCGTCTCGGTACAAGGCACGGCGGGCCCACCAGGCCATCCCTCTCTCGGTTCGGCCCGGGGCACTGTCACCATGGGTGCCTACAAGGTGCGGAGCGTGGGATGTGGCTTTGGGTGGATAGGAGGTCCGCCGGCGCGGGGAGCCATCCCGGGCGGAGGTCTGAGGGGCCCTCTCCTCCTCCCCATTTTCCCTCGCAGTACATTGAGGAGCTTTGGAAGAAGAAGCAGTCCGATGTGCTGCGCTTCTTGCTGCGCGTCCGCTGCTGGGAGTACCGCCAGCTCCCGAGCATCGTGCGCCTGACGGGACCTACCCGGCCCGACAAGGCACGCCGCATGGGCTACAAGGCCAAGCAGGGATACGTCGTCTACCGCGTGCGCGTGCGCCGTGGTGGCCGCAAGAAGCCCGTCCCCAAGGTGCGCGCCTGGAACATGCTCGGCCCTGGTGCCCTCCTTCTGGGGTCCGGAGGGTTGGCTGGGTCTCGAACCCGACCTGGGGATTGGACCCTCCTGAGCACATGCTCGGAGCCATGTGCGTGGGGATCGTATAGTCATCTTGAGCATGTTTGGGATGAATGGCGATTGATGAGTGCACCCTCGTGAAATGCACCTCCCCTCCCCCATGCCTCCGCTGCAGGGAATCGTGTACGGCAAGCCCGTGAACCAGGGTATCACCCAGCTGAAGCCCACCCGCAACCTGGCCAACCTGGCCGAGGAGCGTGTCGGCCGCAAGTGCGGTGGACTGCGCGTGCTGAACTCCTACTGGGTGAACCAGGACGCAGTCTACAAGTACTTTGAGGTCATCCTGGTGGACCCCTTCCACAAGGCCATCCGCAACGTGAGCTGAGGCTTTGTCAAGAAGGCCGGGAAGGGAGGCACTGCAGACTGGGCAGCCGCTGGACAAGAGCCATTTGGCTTCCATTGCACATGGATCGAATTTGAATGGGAGGAGGTCCTGGTAGCCCTTCCCAGACCCATGCAAGTGGCCGGCTCATGTTCAGTGCGCAGTACACTTCTCATGCTCCCACAATCCAATTTTCCATTCTCATCACCTCCACATGCGCCCCATGTCACCCTGAACACTGCACCACCATGCTGCAGGATGCCCGCATCAACTGGATCGCCAACCCCGTCCACAAGCACCGCGAGCTGCGCGGCCTGACCAGCGCTGGCAAGAAGTACCGCGGCCTGACCGGCAAGGGGCACCTGCACACCAAGAACAGGCCCAGTCGGCGCGCCGTCTGGAAAAAGAACAACCGTGTGTCTCTGCGGAGGTACCGCTGATCGCCCATGGGCAGTCTCTGAGTCGTGGCGGCTGGGGAGTGAGTGGGAGACCATCACCTTGTGTGTCTTCCTGCTGCTGCACACCCTTTGTAAGGACGCGTGCCTTGCAGCGATGTTGAGGGGACGGCGACGTGGTGGGAAAGCCAGCATGCACAGCATGCCAGGGCGCAAAAACATGCTTGAGAGGCAGATGTGATCAAGTGTCGGAGCAACCTGACCCATTTGTGGGAGACAGGAGCAAGATGGATGAATAAGAGCAACGCCAGCGTAATCATTGCTACCGGAATATCCGGCAGTGTGGAGACTTGCTCGTGTTCGTGGTACACACCGGTGCCGGGATGCCGTGGGGCCGCAGTGCCGATCTGGCGACATTCAAGCGCCAGGCCAGCTGCCAGCTACACGCAGGGTCCGTAAGGTTCTTATAGGAGTATCTTGCATGGATGAGTGGCATCAGGGCGTGCTCAGAGCTGCCTGAGCCAACATCGGATCCCCTCCTTCCGACACCTCCAGGTTGGCAGGGCTACGAGATGCCGCGAGCTTTCATCGCTGCATAGCGTACTTTGTGTACGACCACCGCATCCTGGTAAAATTCTGTCATGTGTTGGGTATGAGTGTTATTACAAGGAAGGGCCCATGCCATGTTTCACGCGCACCTCACAGCTCAATCACCCTCCCCCCCATGCAGACCAGGACCATACAATGCACGGTCCTGAACGGCGTCGTCTTCCTGGGCAGGTCTGTGCATGTGTATTCTCATCTGTGACTTTGTTTGGCCTGGCATTGGAAGTACTGCTCCGCACCGGTCTGTGTGCCTTGCTGTCTCAGTCAGGCACAAGATTCTCCTTGCCGGCAAGCTCGACGCCATCCGACATGAATCCTCACTGCATCGCAACCCCCTGCAAACTCGTCGACCCTCTCACAGGAAGACCACGATCCCCTCCGCTTTCCGCCCCGCAGCGTCCTCCTGGTCCGCCACGGGCTGCAGCCGCTGCTGGCGACCACCCTGTCTGCCCTGCTGGGCCAGGGCCCCGGCTCCGCGGCCACCTCGCTGCTCATGGGGGCATACGGCGCGCTGTGGGTGCTGCCCGCCCACGTCGTGAGCCTGCTGATCAACACGCTGTGGTACGCTGAGCTGGCGGAGCTCACCATTGCCGCGGGCCAGCGCCAGGCCCTGGTGCGGCGGGCCGAGAGGCTGGGCGAGGGCCTGAGCGCGCGGCGCTCGCCCATCAAGGTCCGAGGGTTGGTGGGGGGGTGGGGATGGGAGGCGGCGGGGGACATGCTGTATCACGCGGCCAGCCAGGGGTTGCAGTGACCACGCGATGGTAGCAAGGGGATGCCGAGCCCATTGGGCAAACACTGTGATGCCCAGCCGATGCCCCTTTCCCCCATGGTCGCACCCATGCAGGCCAGGATCCCCGACCCCATGACCCTCATCTCCGAATCGGTGTACCGCATCCTCCTCCTCTGCTCCATCTCCCTGCAAACCTTTGTGCTGGATCTCCTTCCCGTCATAGGTGTGTGGCATGGTGTGTGGGAGGGAACTAGTGGGAGCCATCCTTTGCCAATTTGACCTGCCGAGGCCTCCTACAGATCTGTTGTGGAGATGTTGCATCTCTGTGTGTGTACATTGGAGGGCCCAAGAAGAGCTGGAATGCACCCTGCCCTTCTTTCCATCATGGTGGGCGCCCAGCCGGGCAAGCTCTCAACCGGATCCTCATGCCCTCCTCACTCCCCAGGGCGGGCGACCAGCGCGGCCCTGATGGCCTGGCTCTACGCCCTCTACTCATTCGACTACAAGTGGGCGGCTCATGGCATCCCGCTCATCACCCGCGTTTCTTTCTTCGAGACGCACTGGGCCTACTTTGCAGGTGCCCAGGTGTCAGGGTGGCATGTGTCCTTGACCTCTGATGCACTGCATTCCAATCAGGTAGGCCCATGGCAGTCTTGCACCCCCCTCCCTCCTCCCTTGGGCGCAGGGTTTGGCCTGCTCCCCATCCTGCCGGTCCTGCTGACCAGCTTCTTCATAGGTTCCGCCGTCGTGGGTGTGGCCTTCCCCCTCTTCATCATCTTGGCTGCGGATGCCAACCCCAAAGCGCGGCAAGCGGAGGGTGAGTTGGTGCACTGTATCTTCGCGTCTGGGAGCGGAGGGAGGTCGAGCAGCTGGCAGCAATTCGAATGCCCTCGTCCAGCAATGCCTGTCGTCTCGCAGGTATGCCACCTGAGAACACCATTCCCTTGCCCGCTCCCTTCGATCATGCCGCAGTCCAGCAAGCACATGGCCCGGCGCAGCTCAGCCCACTACGTGTGTTTGCCCCCGCCAGCTGGATGACAAATGCAGCGCTGCGGTCGGTCGGAGGCGGCATGCGCGCCGCGACACGGATGCTGAGTCGGCGATGGACGCCGCGGCGGGCAGAGCATGGCGAAAGTCGGCGTCCGGCGCCGACCAGGGAACCTGCAGGCTGATGATGCTGGGTAGTGTTATGATCAGTTTGGTTCCAGTGGCATGAAGGGCATGTGCCAATGCTCAATGAAGGCTCTGCAAGTCTGGAAACAGAGTCGCTGTGTATCCTTAAACCATGAGCATAGTGGTCAGGGTGGATCGTGCACCCATGCGGGGAGTGCAGCGTGTGTCACTGGGATCCAGGGCTGCGCCATCACTCCACCTTCTCAGCGCCACATCTGAAGCACACCACCCTCGAGGCAAAGTTGTGGGCTTGGCACTTGGCACAGTTCCAGTCTCCATGCCGGAACGGCTTTGAGCTGCAGTTGGGGGGAGGGGGGATGAAGCCAGGTACGTATGCAACACGTGGAGATCGCGGCTTGAAGTGCACATGTGGCGGGGCAGCGTGATCTGATTCGAGCATTGGCGCGTACATGGTGCAAACATCAACCTGGCTCGTTACTTGTGGGAGGATGCAGGGCTCTCAGCACCCCCATGCCCCTCCACACATCCCAGCCCAGGCCCATGCCCACCCTCACCCCACCCACCCGGAGGCCCCAGGAGCACCGCCGCCAAACCCAGGAGCGCCGCCCGACATCCCGCCGGCGGCGGGGGCGGCCTCCGGAGCCCCAGGCACGCGGTAGCAGGTGTCGTGCGGCTGGTACTCAAAGGCCTCGTAGCGCATGGGGTATCCGCCGTCCTTGATGGGGCCCCGGCCCCAGGCCGCCGCATCGCCGTAGCCGCCGGGGATCGAGGGGGGCGGGACGTGGACGTACACAGATTCCGCGCCGGGGGGAGGAAACGCGGCCCCGGGCATGCCCGCCATGCCGGGGTCAAAGGGCGGGTACATGCCCGGGTCCTGCGGGTAGCGTGGGTCGAACCTGGGGCCCGGCGGCGGCCCGCGCTGGCCCAGGCGGTCGGCGCCGCAGCGAAAGCAGGTGTCGCGGGAGGCGAAGCAGTGGGAGTGGCAAGCCATGCACGTCCAGTCGCCAGGCTTCCAGGTGTGGGTGTGGCCGCCGCCGCCGAATCCACCACCCCTGCAACGCAAGGTGCATTGAGCGCAGAGTTGAATCGGAGGAATGGGAAGAGAACGAGTGGAGGAATGGGAGAGCAGCAAAGCAGAGAATTCATCCCCCTCTCGAGTCTCAGGAGCCGGGAGCAACATCGGCAGCCCCGCCATGTACTCAGCCAGAAACAAGCCCCTGGAGCGCACCCGTAGCGACCTCCAAAGTCGCCTCCATGGTGACTGTGCGAGCCTGGGCCATCTCTCCTGTCGTAGCCCGGGCCAGGAGATCCAGCTCGGGGACTGCCCTGGCGAGGCTCAGGCACCGTCATACCCCGGGGAAGTTGGGGCGGAGCCTCGGCTTGTGGACCAGTGGACCTTTGGAGACAGTTTAGGAGCAGTGTTGTGGCACGGTGTGTTCGTTACGTCGCACACGTGAAGAAGCCCACCGTGTACGGCGATGGTAGATGCCAGGCTGGTGATGACCGTCCTGCCACCAAGGCGCCCAACCAGACGAAATACGACATAAAATCGGCATTCAGAATATGGACCCAAGGGATACTCACTGTTCAGGCTCATGAGGAGGTGTGTCTCCCAAGGAAGGCGCCATCGTGACAGCAGTCACAGGAGACGGTGCCCTCCTGATATGTTGCAGTGGTCGCAGCTACCCAGCAATGCACTTTATAATCGGAAGAGATCGGACTTAGGAATTTCAAATATGGACTTATCGGAGATAGTGATATGTACCGTCCTTGAGGCAGTCCCGCTGAAATTTCTGATCTCGGCGATAATCCCCATTTCGTAGGCCTATTCGCCTGCCCACCCAGGCGAGGCTGTGCTTCAGCGGGAATACGGATCTATACTCCATCCAAGCATTGCATTGGCGCCGGGATGTCGAATCCCCTCCTGAATTGAATCCTTCCATGCGCGGTGTCTGAGCGCCATGGTGCACCCTGTCTTGGCTCTGACGCTGGCAGCGCTCTTTGTTCGTCCATGTGCATCACTCGACAATGGCTTGGCACTCAAACCCGCCATGGGTTTCAACACATGGAGCTCTTTTGCCCTGCGCGGTGAGGCCTGAGGGGGGGGGCCTTGTCAAATTTCGAGTACTGGAGCATCCCTCCCTGGCACCATGAGAGTGGACCGCAGCCCAAGTTCACCAGATCCTTGTTGCCCCTCCCCTCCAGTGAACGAGGAGGACGTGAGACAAACAGCAGACCTGCTGGTCTCCCTAGGCTTGAAAGACATGGGATACACATACCTTGTCCTTGACGGTGGGCGAAGGGTAGGGGTCTGGCCGAGGTTTGGGCAGTCCAGCGCCTGCTAGCAAATGCTCGATGCTCTACTGCCATGCCTCGGCAAACCTCCCAAACTCACACCAAATGCTTGCCATCCCTCCCTTCCTCCCCTCACCCACCCCATCCAGATGGCTGGTCGGAGCATGAGCGCACCCCGGATGGGGACCTGGTGGCCGACTATTCGCGCTTTCCGGGGGGCATGGCAGCCCTGGCGGGACACATCCACGCCCGCAACCTGAGCTTCGGCATGTACGCCGACTCCGGCACCTCCACCTGCGGCGGCTACCCCGGCTCCCGCGGCTTCGAGGCCCGGGACGCCGCCGCGTTTGCGGGTTGGGGCGCAGACTACCTCAAGTACGACAACTGCTACCCCAAGGAGGGGGACTCGGTGCGCGCGAGGTACGGCGCCATGCGCGACGCGCTCAACGCCACGGGTCGCCCCATACTCTTCAGCCTGTGCGAGTGGGGGGTGGAGGAGCCCTGGCTCTGGGGCCGCGCCGTTGGCAACTCCTGGCGCACCACCGGCGACTCCTCCGCCTCCTGGCTCAGCCTGGTCAACAACCTGGACAACAGCGTGGGCCTGGCGCGGTATGCTGGGCCGGGGGCATGGAACGACCCAGACATGCTCCAGGTCTCAGAGAACGGGAGGGGGGAAAGGGGGGGATTGCCAAGGGTAATACTATTACTTGCTTGCGGTCCAAAAGGTGTCAAAGTGGTGATTGTGGGGGGGCCCAGAGTGGACGTGCCTCTGAGAGGCTCTGAGGTGCAGCTTCAAGTGGTGGACCACAGCAAAACACAGCCTCCAGTTGGGCACAAGATGAGGAGGCCCTTCCCCCTCTCCAAACTTGGGAGTCGGGCTGCACTCAAGGCTCTGACGCTGCTTGCCCGCCAGCTATATGCAGCTGCTGCAGGGCGGAATTCGCCTTGCATAAACAAGCGATGCAGGGCACCTGGCAAGCAATGCCAACCCATGCTCCTGACTCACCCTCTCAACAGGTGGGCAACCCAGGGCTGACCCTGGGGGAACAGCGCGCCAACTTAGCGCTCTGGTCCCTGCTCAAGTCGCCCCTGATGATCAGCACCAGGCTGCAGGAGCTGAGCAACGCGTCTGCCGCCATCCTCATGGCCGCTGAGGTGGTGGCCATCAATCAGGATGACCTTGGCGTGGCAGGGGACCTCATCTGGAAGCAGGCAAGGGGGGAGGACCTGGCAGGGCAGCCAGGAACTGGAGAGGAAAGGGGGGGATGGAAGCCTGCCCATCCAGTCCTTGGATTTGGACCTGAGTGATGCTGGGGATGCCTGTACAGACCGTGGTGGTGAGCCCATCTACCCTCCAACCCCCCCCCTTCAGGGGTCCAAGGAGATCTACGCCGGGCCGCTCGCGGGCGGGGATCGGGCCGTGGTGTTCTTCAACCGTGCCGAACATGACGAGGGGGCGGCAGGGGCCCGTTTCACACGTAAGCCGCCCTGCATGCTGTGGGCAGGAGTCTTGATTGTTTTACCATGCTACCCAGCTGCTGCCTCTGCCCGTTCCCTTCTGAATCGCTGTGCCAGAGGGCAGCTCACAGGGGCGCAGTTGTTCACCTGCCGCTGTACAGCCCGGCTCAGATGCCGCCCTCTCTTCCCTCCAAATTCTTGCAGTGCGCACAGAGCAGGTCGGGTACCAGGAAGACACCGCGGTGCGCGTGCGCGACCTTTATGCACGGCGCGACATCGGCACCTTCCGCGGCAGGTTCTCCGCGCGGGTGCCGCCGCACGACGTGCTTGTGCTGAGGCTGACGCCGGAGGCGGCGCCGATTTTGGAGTGGGAGGGCGGCCGGTGGCCCCGAGATGATGGGTGGAGGCCGTGGACCGGGCAAGCCATCTACGCTGAGCACGAGGAGGACCTGGAGAACATCCCCAGGCGCAAGACGGAAGGGGATGATGATGCGCTGGAAGACGCCGCAGTTGCGATTTGAGGGTTCGGACTTTTGCCCAGACAGCAGAATTGTAATGCAGGCGTTGCCAGAAATTCTGGGCGAATCTCTGATGTTGATGGCGTCTTTGGCGACGCAATGCGTTCTGGATATGTGAGGCCAACATGGAATAATCACCCTGCGCGAGGAAGCACAGCAGTATCATCGTCTTGCTCTGCCGCAGACTTCCAATCTCCAGCGCAAGGCAGTTCTCGGTGCCAAGCGAATTCGTCCAGGCAGGAACATGCTCTGAAATACCGGGCATTGCCCTCCAAGGAGTCGATCACGCATCCATCGGTGCTAATGAACTGTGAGGGTCTGTGCCAGTCACAGACTTCGTTGAGGACTCAATGCCTGTCATGGTGTGAAAATCATTGAGCGGGCTGTGAATGCCACGTTCAAGTGAAAGGACGCACCTGTGTTTTTCGGTGAAGATTCATCCATATGGATGCCCACCAAGAGCACCCAAGACCACGTGATTCCTACCCCCCGCATGGCAGGCTTCGTAGGTTACAGGGGCACATGCCCAGGTCGCCCACGACAGCTACAAAAGGACAACCAGGAGGCTTGCAAATTGGCTGTCGCCAAACATAGTCTTGCCGCTGCCGGGGAGGTTTGGTCAAGCCGGGGACATGTCCAGATGGCGGAGGTCGGCAACCGTATTCACCCGCGTAACCAGCACAATTTGCAGATATATACAGTTATGACCAAGCAACCTTACACACATGAAGTCAGAGCTGAACTTCCTGACGGCTGAGAACCCCTTCAGAGTAACCTCTCCAGAGGAGTGGGCAGCCGCCCGGGCCGCCCGGACTGCGTCCAGGCAACACAGGCGTCCATTGTACGACCCCCCTGAGAATGCACTGCATGGAGTTCCAGTGCCATCACGTCGCCCTGCTCCGGCCGAGCGAGTGCCTGATGGCCGCGCATCCAATTCACGACGTCGCTCAGGGCGGGGCAAGCCTCTGGACCGTGCCGCCAATGCCATACGCGACATGGTGCAGAGAAGGCGGGAGATGTTCTTGGTGCGAAGCCAGGTGGCGCAGCTTCAGGAGGAACTGGACAGGCTCCGATCCCATGCCGCTCAGAGAGCCAACGCCGTGCTGGTGGGCTCGGGGCCTGCAAGAGCGCCTACGCGTCAATGTGCTTTTAGCCCATGAGCCAGGGCACAGGGCGCGCTGCGGGGAGTGTGGTTCTGTGATGCGGTGGTTGAGGCGAGTTCCTACCGCGCAGGGTCACTCAATCTCCACCCACATCCCCAATCCCCTGTGCAGGCAGCCGAGGAGGCCTTGGAGGCAGACTCCAGGAGATTTGCGCAGCACCTGCAGGAGGACGCCGCGGCGACAAAGGCAGCCCTGGCCGCCGTGGCTGAGGCGAGCGACAGGCACCAGGTACTGGGATAGGGCACCTTGCTGGAGGGAGGGCTGTTCTTGTTTGTAAAGCTGTGGTGCTCCATGGGCTGCCGTGCCCTCACGACTCTTGTCATCCAAGCCGGCTGAGATGGCCGTGTCATCCTGGAATCGGCAGGTGGCCGCAGCGGAGGCTGGCAGGCTGGAGCACCTGACCCAGGATGCCAGGGCAGGCCTGGAGCGCCTCCAGGAAAGGCTGGCGGAGGCCAACAGGCATGGCGGGGGGGGGTGGCGAGGACGATCACCACCTGCACACACAGTGCTCCTTCAGGCGGAGGCCATGACTCTGCACCCCTGGATCACAGCAGGTTGGGATTGCGATATGCACCAGCGCTGTCCTCACTTCCTTGTGTGTTCCTTGCAAGGCGCACACCACTCCAACCTTTAATCCCAAGGCTGGTCCTCTCACAGCCTGCCTTCCCCCTCCCTCGACGTCCCCTATTCCGTCATCAGGAGCCAGGCGTTTCTGGACGCCACGACCCCGTCGACCCACTTTGCGGCGTTCGCCGCGCGCCAAGCCGCAGAGCGCGCACGCCGCGAGGCTGCCTGGGCCTCAGAGTGTGAGGCCGTTGAGAAAGCGCGGCAACATGCCCGGCACGAGTTGCAGCTTGCAGAGCAAGCCGTCGCCGGCGCCTTCACCCACCAGGAGTACACAGCGGGGCTGGCGGCGCTGCGCGCCGCGCGGGCGGCCACGGAGGCGGCGGGGGCAGCGCGGCCGCCGCCAGCTCCCGATCACGCTGACCTGGACGGGGAGCAGGCGCCGATGGTTCACACGGCGCCCGAGCAGCTTCTGGCCCTGCTGCGCGATGGCCAGCGGCGCGGCCTCCAGGCGGCGTCGGGGGCCGCCGCGGCCGCGACGGCCCTGCATGCCGCCCGACGGGACGCGGAGGAGGAAGGGCGCGAGGACCTGCGCACGACCGCCGCGCTGGCCGAGCGTCTGGCCTGGGCGGAACGCTGCCTGGCGGAGGCGGAGCTGAGGGAGGCAGAGCTCGCGCGGGCGGTGCTGGCGCTGGACGCGCCGAGGGCAGGGGCCGAGGGAATGGAGGCTGCTGCCGTGCCCTGGGCCCTGCAGGATGCCCTGCGTCTGTGCGGGTTGGGCGAGGCTCCCGGCGGCGCCTGCGCGCTGGACCTCCTCCAGCAGATCGAGGTGCTTGGCTGATTTCGGGGGAGAGTCCTGTGGTTTCGTAGAGCGATATCCAGGGGCGAATTTTGGGCGTCGGCAGGCCAGGATGCAACGGGGCATGTTTCTACCTGCCGGGGGGGCTGCACTACTGGTCCATGCTGGCTCCAATCTCAAGAGCCACTCGCGCCTGTGGGGGCCGATGAGCTGGGGAGCACCTGGGCGCTGCCACCCACCAGAGACTCTGCACGCCACGCGAGCAGGGGAGCCTGGACGCTGTGATCCTTGCGGTGGATGCGGGTCCGGGGGCTGAAGCAGCCGGGGTCGCTGAGCTGCGTGCCGCAAGGGCCAGGCGTCTTAGGGAGAGGCGCGAAAAGGCGGCAGCTGCGGCTGCGGAGCATGTGAGTTGACGATAGCTGGACCGAACATGAAAACCATGATGGGTCTGTGATGGGAATTTGTCTGCTATCAACGCCAACTGCTTGCTTTACATGGAGTCAAGCTGCCGGCGCCAACTCAGGGGTCGGACCAGGGACTGCCTCAAGCTTGGGACAGGAGGTTCCAGACATCCAACCATGTCCCACATCTGCCCATGCACGCAGGAGGCTCGGCTGGCCAGGGTGATGGAGAGGGCCACCCGCCCCGTCGCAGTGCGGGTCGGCAAGCCAGTGATGTTCCGCAGTGGGGTCCCCTGGGAAGGTGGGCCGCAGCGTGACAGCGCCAGCGGCAACGCTGCTGAACCTGCTATGTGACGCCGCCCACGGGTCATCGCCGCTCCTGGCGACCGGAAATGAGGGCGCTGGCTCGCCATCCGCCTTCCCATGCACCTCCGTGGTCGCCTTTGCTATGTGAATAATTCCCAGCTGCCTTGTTGCATCCTCACACGTAATCACGCCAGCGGTGGCCGCACTTTATGCAATTGAAGAAGAGGGTCATGCCCTCCTCCGTGGATGCCGAGAAGAACACCGCCTCGTTATTAGCGCATGCCGGGCAGCGGACGTCCTTGGTGCGCGGCAGGGTCGGATCGGAGCGCACGTCCTGCAGACGGTGGCGGAAGGGAGGGTGTGACAGGATTGTTGGGAACGATTATTAGCAACGCGCAGGATTGTAGGATCCACCATGGGGAAGCCTCCAGAATTAGAGCAGGGGGGCCACACTCATCCTACCACGGGCACTCCCGGGACCAAGACCCCCAACACGGAAGACACTGACCTGGAGCACCACCAGCTTCTCCTTGGAGGTGTGCTGCACCTCATTGCGGAAGACACACCACTCGCTGGGGTCTGCAGCCTCGACATATGGACAACTCCGACAGTGATATACGAGTCGTTTGTTGGCTCTATCCTCCTTGGGGTACAGAAGGTCGTTACTTTCGGGACAGAATCTTAGTTTGGGGCCCGACATCTATGTGTGCAAAGCGCAGCTCGTGAAAGTGCGAGGGTGTGGTGATGGACGTGACCAGGAGCGTGCACGGAGGAAGTGTTGGCAAGGGAACGACGGTGCACCTTCTTGATACCACTAAGTTCGTGATAGAATTAACTTCCGGCTCGCAAATGCCAGTGCGATTTTTGGATTTGTGGAATGTGTTGGAGATCGATGCGAAAGCCTCCCGAGGGGCCCGTCGCTTGCTGCGCGTGCGGGGCAGGAGGATGTCCTTGGAAGCTTGGGGTGCCGTGCCCACAGAAAGACACAGCTCCCGATACCCCGTTTGTGATTCCTGGTGTATTCATTTGCCAAGAGCACCTCAAAATTGCCCCACAGATCGCGCGAGCCCGCCCGCCGGGGCTTTGCCAAGTCTGGAAGGGGCGGCTTTCGTAGGCTGCCGCTCGCCTCTCGCTGCTTCCCTTCACCCGCTGCTACCACCAGCTTACTGCGCACAGAGGAGTGGGAGCCGAGGGTGTTCTGTGCCATCGACCCCGCGCCACATCGACATGGCAGCCACTGGTGTGATATCGCTGTGCTCATACTCATGTTCTTGCATGGCAGGGCATCACTGACGGAGTGACAGGCATGTGAGAGTTTCATAACATACGGGCCCCCGGGCTGCGCTTTCGCCAGGTACAGCCAACTCACAAGCTGTGGTGCTGGGGTCCGATGGAGTTATCCAGGATGGCCCAAAGAAGCTGAGCCTGGTCGTGGCGGATGCTCTCAAGCGGTGGTATGCGGAGACTGAGAAGGAGGCTCTTCGCGGAGACCTGGTGCGAGATTGCGTGTGGGTCATGGAGTACTCAACTCAAAGTTGATCTAGTGGGAGTGGATGCAAGGGCCCTTGCCCAATGTCTCAATACCCTCGATTTGACGGCCCCTGTACTTCCCCATGCATTCCAGAAATCGGCAGCCCTGCTGGGACAGATGCTGAACGAGGGGTACGGCTGCAAGGCGAACCCAGAGCGCGGGCGGGAGTGGATTGAGAAGGCACGGCGGAGGGGGTACCGCATGCACCGCGTCTACTGTGAGATCTGATGTCTAAGAGGGAACCAGATTCCCATGCCTGTCATTCACCACGCACTCCACCCCCCCATGCGTACATTGCGCGTCCTTTTCCGCACTTTATGCTGCACTTCCTGGTATTATCCTGTAGGCACGGCGAGGGTTTGCAGAGGTGGGCCTCGTCCTGGTGTGATAAAGAGGCAATTTGTCGTGGGATTACGGTGCAAACAAGCTTTACTCGTAATGAATGCGCTGGCGCTAGTACAGGCGTGGCCTGTTGGAACCTATGAAATCCCCTCGAACCCGCTGCCCCTTTCGTGCCGAAGCCAGCATCGCCTCGCTTGAAAGTGCCGAGTAAGTCACGCGTTGGCAAAACTCGCCGGGGGGGGCTCCATGAAATATACATCCAAGAAGTGTTGACTATTTTCAAAATAAATTACAGCTTCTGAGTATCCTCGTGCATGTCCTTGTGGCCTGAAGGCTAGCCGCCGGGATGTGCGTTCGCGGCCTCGAGGACGCCCAGGAGGCTTGCCTTGCGACGCAGACACCAGACGTGATTGTGCAGTTTCAATCCCAGACGCACGCCTACAGATGCGTGCTGCTGCACCAGAGTGGAGCCTTCTTCCCCGAGGGCTGTGGAGTGGAGGTGCGCACTGCTGCTCTATGTGCACCTCGGTGGGATGCACATACGATGGGACTGGAGGGGCATGCATCGCTTCGATAAATTCTGCACATCGACCAGTGTATTACAACTTACATCAAACTGTCCTGAGACCAACACCTCGTGCCTGTTCCCTGGTGGCCCACAGGCTGAGGAAGTTGGGCCCCGAACAGACCATGCCGGCCCCTGCCTGGTCCTGCTCAAGGGTGTGACCCTCCCCAGGGCCGACTTTGAGGCCTGGCTCCGAGACTCAGTGATGGAGTGGGCCGTCATGCGCGTCTACTGGATAAAGCAGCGGTGTGCTGACCGACAGGTCAGCTGCAAGGGGCAAGGCTTTCGGTTGGTGATATTTCTGCAGGGCCCGAATGTAGGCCATGCACTTTTGTGACAAGTGTCTTCATTGTGACAGGGTTCCTGCTCATTTTGTCTAGCATACAAGCACCACTGGGCAGACAACCATTCTCATGCAATGCATGTGAGGCAGCGGCACCCCCCCCTTTCATCCTTGCAGGAGTTGGTCCGTCAGCTCTTGGCTCAAGGTCCCCCTGATGGAGCCCTCCGCCTCCACTGCTTTCCCCATAAGCTTGAGCCGTGGCTGGGAGTGAGTGCCTAATCTAGGGGGGCTCAAGGGACAGAGTTTGACACAGCCAGTGCGCCTTGCTCTGTCTCATGCCACGCCCAGGGCATTGGGCAACAGGCTGCGGCCATCCTTACGCCCAGTGAACTAGGCCACCTTGTAGCTCCACTCCTCTCAACACATCAGGATCCCACTTCCTACACTGTCCCGCAGGACGCCTTGCCCCTGGACTGGGTGCTGCAGCCTGCCGCCTTCACCCACGTGCTGGACGTAGTGGAGACGGCCGCAGGCGTCGCGTACTCCATGAGCCCCTGCCCCCGCCTCTTCCGCACCACTGCCTGGACCCGGCCGCGACTGGAGGGCCCGCTGTGCAAGGCTACGTCCAAGCTGGCGGAGGCCCTCGCCTGGGTCAAGCACGCACCTCGCGGGGGGGTCGCCATAGACCTCGGTGAGCGCTGCCATGCGGCGAGCCCAGGGGTGTGCCAGGCTGCAATCTGGTTCTCCTGCAGACACTGCCTGCACCCAACACTGTTATGCGACCGTTCTACCCCAGGTGTATCTAGAGAATACCGTCTGATACGAGTCCACCTTCCCTTCTATGCCGTGTAGGGGCGTCCCCGGGCGGCTGGTCCACCCTGCTCGCCTCCTCCATGCACCACGTGATCTCCATCGACCCCGCCGACATGGCCCCGGAGGCCCTGGCCCTGCCCAACCTGACGCACATTAAGAGCAGGGTGGAGACGGCCCTGCCCCAGATAGAGGCCGCCCTGGCCGCGGCGGGGGCGGGCGGGGGCGCAGACCTCCTGGTCTCAGACATGAACAAGCACCCCAGCGCCATGATCGGAATGGTGGAGCCCCTGCTGGCGTACCTCAAGCCGGGGGGGCACCTCCTGCTGACCCTCAAATTCTTCTCCCGGTCGAGGGACAAGGCCTGGGACCCCACCAACTGCCCCCAGCTGGCTGGCTTCAGAGGGGTGCAGGTGGTCTGGCTGCTGGCAAACACCGCGCATGAACGCACCTGCGTGGCTATCAAGTGCTGAAGCACATGTTGCACACAAATTTGCCTGCGTGGCCTGCGTGGACTCTTGATCTGGACGTCTGTTGCGGGACGTCCGAGGGGATCTAGCCAGTGGGCACCACAGCCCTGACCTGAGGCCGGGACTGGTCTTCCATTGTGGGTCCGAAAACACGTAATTCAAATTCGGTGTCCTTGTGGCGTGGGAATGCCGCCTTGGCCTCACCCACTGGGTTTCCCGTACACATGGTTCTCGGAGGAGGGCCCCGCCCAGGCCCCCATGTCCATGAGATTTGGCCACCTGGCCTAGTATGGTGGTCGACGCGGTGGAATGGACATGAACTTTGGGGAGCCATGATGGACCCTCACTCCCCACCCTACTACTCCACATCTGGTGGTGAACATACTCTTCATCTTGTTGTGGAAGCCGGGGGCTTCAGCTTCCCTCAGGGCTCCCCAGGGACCCCGTGCAAGTTCGGGACGCCCTCATACTCCCTGCCCTCAGGCGGGGCGTCATCACCTTCCCGAAACTCTTCTGCGCCCAATTTTGGCGTGTTCATAGGGGGACCTCGCCAGTTGCCGCTCATGTCGGGGCCGGCACAGCCCCTGCCGGTGGACGATGCCGGCCTGCCCGAGGAAGTGCGGGAGATCGTGGCCAAGGCCCGGAGTTCCTGGCTGAAGAACAGCGAGGTGTTTCAAATCTTGCAACATGCCACCAGCGGCCTCCTGCCGCTCTCCACCTCGCCGCCGGAGCTGCCACCGGGTGAGTGGGGTTCCCTGCCTGCCCCCCATGCCATGGCAGCCACCTGTGGCCTGCAACCTCAGTGTCAACCCCCTTTGCCAAACCCCATCAGGTGGGACTCTGTTCCTCATCGACCGTAGCAGCTGCCGCACCTTCCGCAAGGACCAGCACCAGTGGCGCAAGAAACCAGGTGCGGCGAGGGGATGTGGGGCGCGGTGCACACGCAAGCCACAGGCTGGCCGAGCTGTGTTTACACCACGCAGGAACATATGGGGTTGTTCAGTTGCGTGCAGGTCAGGGGCACGTCTCATCGGATCTGGGATTGGCGCGGGGTCCCACACCAGCCTGCTCGTCAGGGGCTGGCTTCCTTTGGCCCAGGAACTGCACGGGGCACCCGCCCCCCCTTCTCATCTCCCCCTTCACCAGCGTTTTCCCCCCACTTCCTGCACCCAGACAACAAGACAGTTCGTGAGACGCACGAGAAACTCAAGGTGGGCACCACGGAGCGACTGAACTGCTACTACGCCCACGCGGACCAGCAGGACCAGCTGCAGCGGCGCTGCTATTGGCTGCTGGAGCAGCAGTATGAGTACGCGGTGCTGGTGCACTATCTGAACGCGCCCTCCACGCGTACCCAGCGCAGCGTCGGCGGCGGCCTGCCCGCGCCCGACGCCGCGGGCGCCGGCGACGCACCTGCACCCCAGCGCCCCCAGCGCGCCAACCGCGGCCAGAACAGCCGGTATGCGCACCTGGGCTTCGACCAGGGCAGCGGCAGCCTGGGCGCGGACGGCACGCCCCGCGCCTCCACCACCACCGGCAGCGACCTGGACTATGAGCCCGCCGCATCGGGCGGCTACGACGTCGACGACGACGCGCCGAACGGCGGCATCCCCGGCAGCGCGCGGCACGCCCCGGGCAGCGTCGCCTGGCTGGCAGCGCAGCACCGCCCGGCCTCGCCGCCCGGCACCGCCAGCCGGCTCCCCCGCTTCCCCTCTGACGTCAGCTTTGGGCTGGGCCTGATGCCCGAGCCCAGCAGCGCGGCGGGGGCCAGCCTGGCCGCCGGCGTGCGCCGCGATGCGGGGAGCGTCCAGGGCTCGCTGCCGCCCAGTCTGGCGGAGCAGTGGGCGGAGCACTCCCGGCGCGGCGGCGCCGCGCCGCCGCTGGAAGAGCTGGTGGGCCATGCGGGCGGCCTGCTCCGCGCCCAGCGCCTCCACTCCTCCCAGCAGCAGCAGGGGCAGGGGGTGCCGGGGGCCTTCTCGCCGCGCGGCGAGGCGGCCCAGGTCGCCTGGCCTGCGCCCGGCGCCACCTTTGACGACCTGCTGAGTCAGCACTACGCCGCCGCGCTGCAGCGCGCGCAGCGCGCCGACCCAGACTGGGAGGGCGAGGAGGGCGAGGGCGGCGCCCGCGCCGGCGCCGCCCAGCCCTCGGCTGGCCTGCTCATGATCTCGCGCGGTCTGGCGGGGCAGGGCACGGGGTCCTTCACCTCCCCGCCGCGCGGCCTGCACCCGCAGGTGTCCTTCACCGCCAGCGAGGCGGACCTGGCGCGCTCCCTCTTCCCCCAGCTGTCCTTGGGCCTGGAGGGCGTGGAGGGCAGCGGCGCCAGCGTGACCGGCCCCGGCGGTGGCGGCGTCGGCGTCCAGCCCTCCACCGGCTCCTTCACCGCCGCCAACGGCGGCGGCCTGGACGGCTTCCTGGCCTCGCCCCAGCGCCTGCACTCGCGCCGCACCTCCTCCGGTGTGGCGCGGCTGATGGACACCTGGCACGCCGCGGCCGGGTTCGAGCACCCCCTGCGCGAGCACCTGGACGTCGCGCTGGGCGCCGGCAGCGGCGACGAGCTGGCGGGCGTCGAGGCGCGGCGCGGCGCGCCCGGGTCCCCTGCCTCGCGGCACACCGCGGCTGCGGGCATCGCTTTCCTGGGCGGCGTGGGCGCGGGCGGCGGCGGCGGCTTCGTCAGCTCGCCCAAGCCCTTCTCTGGCGCCGCGGGCGCCGCCACGCCCGAGGCCATCGCCGCCTCGGCGCACACGCTGGAGCCCAGTCCGGCGACGGGTGCGGCAGCGACGTCGGCGCCTTCCCCCCCACC